ATGTGGCACCCGACCACTATGGGCTTCAGCAGTGCTTCCTCCAGTCCCCCTCCAGCAACTTGAAGGAGGGGATCCAGCTTTGTTGGGGTCTGTGTGCTGGGTGGCACCGTGGATCCAAAAATGGGCCACACAAGTGTTGCTTCAGCCAAACCTCCATTGGTGGGAAAAGCTCCTAAAACACTCAAAGTCCTACTTGCCATCACAGGACAGAGCCAGGAGTTGGTGCAAAGGCTTGATGGAAGGGGGTTAAAGAAATAAAAGATAAAATTAATAATAAACTCTCCTCCTGAGACTGAGGTGAAGGGTTGTGACTCAGAGCTGGCTTAGTGCCTGCACCACCCGACCCTGGAACTGAAAATGGAACTGAAAGTAAAAGCAATTAAAAAAGGAAAAGCCAGCAGCTCCCCAGGAGCACATTCCCTGCCATTCCCACCCCTTCCTCCGTAAATAACCTGCTGGCAGGGAAGGAAAGGGCTGAGCAAGGACTTGGATGAAGAAACCACACCAGGCCAAACCTGCTCTTTCCCTGCAGGAACGGCCCAGCCAGTTCAACAGCTTTGGAAGCCATGGGAGAAGCTCCCAGGGAAGGGGAGAGAGTGCAGCTCTTTAGTGCTTGGCTTAGAAGTGACCCAAACCAGAAAACTCTTACTTTTCCAGCTCCCCACCGGCCTCTAGAGCAGAAGAAACATTTGAAGTGAGATCCCAAGATCAGAGCTTGTCTCAGCACCTGGGAGGAAGGTGACTCTCTCCTGCTGAATCCTGCTGGGGGAATTTGAGGGAAAGGACCCCCCTAAAGCCCCTACACAACTACTCCATAGCAGTCCTGAGCATGGAAAATCCAGGCCTGATCTCCAACAAGTTACTGGAGAGACTAAAGTCAGCTCCTTTTAAAGCAGCCCAACAGATCCCACGCACTGTTTCATTCTTTGCTGGTGAATTTTAGGATTTAAAGCATAAAGTCCAAGGAGCTGTACAACACCAGCAGGTATGTGCATCCATGTGCATTCCTCATTGCTCCAGAGGCACCAGGTGCAGTATCCAGACCTCTGTGGTGGTTGGAATGAGATGATCTTTAAGGTCCCCTCCAACCCGAACCATTCTGGGATTCTGTGGTAGGGCAGACTTCCTGGTCTGCAGCTTTCCTGGATGCTTTGAATGCCCCAAGTATTTTACTCCCAGTTAAACGAGTTGGGTTGTAATCCCTTAAAGCACCCACCACACAATTAGGGATTTACATGGAAAGTTCCTGGCTCCCAGCATTTAGACAGCTGCCATTCTCCTCAGACAAGCTTGGGAGGCTCCATCCCACTCCCTCCACATGTTGGGCTGCTTCCCACCCTCTTCCCAAGAGATTTTTAACTCTTTGCTTTATTATTTGCAGCCCGAAGTTGGCACGAATGACAAGATCCACAAGGAGAGGAGCCACTGGGTGCTTGTCACGGATGGAGAGTGAGGAAGGACAGAAGGGTATCACCTCCTGAGCAAGGTGTGTTACGTGCAAGATCCTCCTAAGATATCACCTCATGCAGTGCAGTCGTAGGCCACTTCTGTAGTGTCAGTGATCCAGGCAGGAAAAAAATGAGTGTTAGAAAAACCACAGAAGAAACCGTTGGCTTGTAAGTGAACACCCTGTGTTTCCACAGCCAGGCACAAGGGGTTTGATTTTAAACCCCTTCCCGTTTCCACTTGTTAACAAAGGGACTGGGAAACAGCCACTCCTTTGGCAGTGACTGTTGAGAGGGATTTCAATCACCAGCACTCACATCCTTGTGACTCAGTGCTTTATTGGCAATCATGACAGGCACCCTGTAATTAGCACGCGTGGCTGTCAGAGGTAATTATGTCATAGTGGAGTGGTTACACTTCCAAGGGGTCCCTGCACCCCCAGCGTGCCCCCAGGGAACGAGGCAGAGTAGATAATCGATGTGAGAACACAGTGAATCAAAAGCCAGGCTGGCCAGCAGGATTTCCCAAATCCCATTCTGGTGACAAACGTGCCCAAAAAGTGGTTCCCTTGGCAAGGCCGCCCCGGGCACACGCTCAGCCCGTGGGACTGCAGAGGCCAGGCAGGGCTGTGGGAGTCGCTGCAGAATTCCAGAGCAATGGCACGTTCCTTCTGCTGGCCATTCCCGAGCGTGCCGGTGCAGGAAGTCGCATGATGGCTCTCAGCGCAGCCTCAGCGCCCATGTGACTGCTCAGAAAACCCTCAGCTGCTATTTTTAAACTCCACACCTCTGCGGGGAGTTCCTAGGGGAGACCTCTACTCCTAAAGGCCCACAAAACATAACCAAGGCAGACACGCCGACTTGGAGCAGCTTTACATTTACTGCACAGGGTGTGACCCTCTCTTGGCTGTATAAAGGCTGCAGATTTCAGAGTGCCAATACCCAAATTCACAGAATCCCAGACTGTTTTTGTGTTGGAAGGGAGCTTAAAGATCTCATTCCAACCCCTGCCACAGGCAGGGACACCTTCCACTATCCCAGGTTGCTCCAAGCCCTGTCCAACCTGGCCTTGGACACTTCCAGGGAGGGGGAGGTCAACCTACCCTCCTTCAGCTTTCATTCCCAGTTCAGACTGGGACAGTCCCAAACATGAACACAACCATAACTGTGGTTAATTTTCACTTTTATAGGGTACCAAAATAAAACCATCTTCCTCAAACAAAATAAACAAGGCCCAAGTGCTCAAAATAGTTTTGAACCAGGGCATTTTTTAATGACCCTAGAAATTAGCTTCCAGCTCCAGAAAAATTAAACCACCTCGTTCATTTTTCCAGCAGACAGAGCTGTGTCCAAGTGTTACATTTTGTGTTCATTCTCATGCTCTTCCACTTCCAAGTCCTGCCTGAGGGACCCATCAGCCCATCCCCAAAGAAAGGGGAATACAGGAATTCCTCATGCCTGTTCTCAGGCCCTGCCAACTGGAATAATTTTACCCCCAGAGTTCTACTTGTTATGTTTAAAATGACATTTATGTTAAGGGAAATCCACTGGCTTTGGGAAAAAGGCAGAGAAGGATGTGAGTGCAGAGCTGCTGACCTCAGAAATACAGAGACAGACCAACCAAGCAACAACATTATGATAAAGTGTTTATTCATTTTTTTTTTAAATATCAAATTTTCTTTACACATCAATTTTGTTGATAAACAGTCCCCCAATATTTAAAAAAAAAAAAAATCAAAAAAAGAATCAAGTGTGTATTACTTTGGGCAGAACCACATCCCACTGGTGACACACCCACTCTCCTCCCTTCAGCCGCCCGCGGGGCCGCAGCGCGTTCAGCCCACGACAGACACAAATGCAACCAGCTTTAGGATTCCTGAGTATTGATTCCCTCAAGTTCCCTAAGTGAGTCTGTAAAACTCTGAAGCCAAAAAGCATCGACACGTGACCCAAAGCACGCCTGGATCACAGACTAAGCCTCGTCTACACGGTGCAGGAAGAAACCTCTTGAACGCTTCAGAGGGGAATGATGGACACGAAACCGACCCCGGTTCCCAAGCTGGCTTCCGAGAGAGGCAGGCAAAAATACCTCTGGATTTCTCCTCTTTGAATTCCTGCTAAAGTTCTGGGGAGCTGTTTGGCAAGAAATCCAAGTCTGGTGAAGAAACCTCTAGGATCTGCTTCTCCCTTTGTCAATGGCAGAGCATCTTAGAGAAAACTGAAGTTGAGCGTTCGGCAAAGTACACTTAAATATTGCTACTTTTGAGGAGAGGATGGTGAGAGGGAGAGACAAAGACAGGAGGAGGGGAATACAGAGAAGGGACAAGGTTAACAGTCCTGGAGAACAAGTGCCTACCTAGAAAGTCAAAACAGATGCAGCAACGAGGCAGAGATTGTCAGGGTAACAGCACAGCTCAGCTCTGTCCAGCAGCAGGAAAACATGCCAGGGACCATCACCAGGAATAATCCCTCCTCTTGTCAGTCACCTGTGCCCAGAAACTTCCAGACCTTGGGATTTCACTAAACATCCCCTCTGTGCTCACCTGCAGCCTTGTGTGGAGAAACACATGCTCAGCAGGAGGCCAAGGCCATTGCTTCCGCATCTTTAAGGAAAAGAATACATCAGAAACCGAGAGTGCCTCCAGGGAACACCCAGAAACAATCTCTACAGACCCACCCGGGTCCCACAGGCACTGGCAGCGTCACAAAGCAGCTTCTGAGCGTTGCTTTACTCTCTAGAGCAGGACTTCCATGGTGAAATCCCTTTGCTGATGTGACACTGGGACACTGCAGCAGTGACTGACGACGAGGGGGAAGAGAAGAGAGCGAGGTGCCTGATTTTAGGCCAGGATACACAGCTCCTTGGAAACCTGAACACCTTTTTGGTGGTACCTTTATCCCCTGTTGCAGCCAACAAGCTCTGCCATCCCTCCTTCCACAGAAATATTCCCGCTCTGTGGGCTGGGTCAGCACAGGGGCCAGCGAAGGGGTTGCTGGGGGCTGAGCAGGGGGTGTGTGTGTGTGTGCACGCAGCAGAGAGGACACACATGGACACAAAGACAACTTTTAGACAGCGTTCGCTAAACACACGATCTATTACATTTTATTTTAACCTTAAATACTCACCACTGCCCCAATTTTCTCCTAGATCTTGCTCCTAAAAACATTATTCACTAATTCAGCAGCGCGTAGCCATTCACTCAAAGCAAGGCTCGGAAATGAAGAGATTTAAATCACCAGGCTTGGACCTACTTGATAAGAGTTTTACAAGTATTTATCAGTTGGGGGTCAGGGTTTGTTCCTAGCAGTTGGGAGAGAGTTACCCAGGGAATTCTAGCACTATGGATAAATGCTTCCATACAGCTTTGGCAGGAGGGCGGGTTTCAAAACTTGTGTTTGACAAGGAGTAAAACTGAGCATTGAAGCAGATTGGCTGATGCTCTAAAGCTTTGACAGCGTAAATTGCAAATGCGCAGCCCAAGTCGCCGTGGCCGTGAAACCAGAGCCTGTCCCAGCCCGGTGCAGAGCAGCAGCACCGGGCCCAGCTGTGAGCAACAGCTCCCAAAACAGACAGGGTGAGCACAGGGGGCTAACACTGAGGAGCTAACACTGAGTGGCTAACATCGAGCAGCCCACATCTGATGCTCCAAGCAGCTGGCAGTAGATCCGCCTGCAGACTAAGGGTCCAGGTTCAGCATCTCCTGCATCCAGGAGGGCCAACCTGCACCTGGTACCTGTGTCACTTTGCTCCCAGGACCACCTGACCCAGCCCCAGGGCACAAACTGGGGGCAGGTTCGGCTGTCTGAGGTCACTCTGGATCTGAGAGCTGGCAGCCTCATCGCTGCTCTGAGAGTGAACCAGATGCAGATGGGAACAGGTCCAATATATTCTATTTCCGAAGGCTTCTAGAGACCTGGTGACACTACTCCTGTACCAGCCCAGGCATTGCCCTTCACAGAGGGGCTTTTGCTGATTTGAGGTGCCCACTGCAAGAATATTAAACCAAAGGTTGAGCAGGGGTAACTCCACCACTCACACGGTGAAGATGAGAGAGCTGCAGTAACTCAGTAACTCATTTGGAGCGGAGCCTCAAGTGAATCACTGGATGCTGCTCAAGCAGGGGGGTTCCCAGACAGCCAAGCACTGCTTCCCACACGGAGCAACACCCGCTGCCGGCATCACGAGCAGGGGGATGTAAGTCAAACCTGTCTGGGAGCTCCAGGCCTGGCTGGGACTGCCCCAGCTCACGGAAAAGCTCCATTTGACAGTGGAATGCCTTAAGGCCCTTCCTTACTGTAAAGGATCTCCTGGCTACCCACGTGTCTGAGACAAATCTGACACCAGCGCTCACCGACAGCAGAAACTCCTGCGAGGTGACAGATGAAACCAAATCTGTGTTGGTTTTAAATGCCACCTGCACGAAAACAGCCCAGCACGCACGTAGGAAACCTGCTAAAGCAACAGGGAACACGAAACACCAGGACAAAGGCCTGAGACAATGACAACACCACATGGAAGCCACGAACAAAAACACGTGTCTGGTGCTGCTGAGCCATCGCTCCACGTTTAGCTCAACGCAGCAAGTTCAAGATGAACACCTGACACAAAGCCACTTCTGAGATTTGCAAGTGGGACTAAATCGAAGTTCCTAGTTAAAATTTGGTTTCAGCCACACCTTCCTTCTCCTTCCCCAGCCCCGACAGAGTTTTGGGGCTTTGCAGAGCATCGCAAAGGAGTTCATCCCCCCAAAAAAGCGTCTGGAAGGGGCTTCCTACAGCACAGCCTCGGTGAGGCCTCACCACGCAGGGACTCACCAGGGGTGTCCCAGAAGGCCACGACGGTTGTAGCACAGAAGCCACATCAGTGCATTTGTTTCATGAACCCTGCTGGGGAGCCCTCGCTCTTGAGGAGGTGTGAGATCCGCACCCCCCAGCTCAGAGGCTGATCATTCCCAAACAAACCGGTGCAAAGCAGATTCTTCCTTCTTTTCCAATCACAGCCCCTCTCAGAGCACAGGGAATGCAGCCACCAAGATGAAGTTCATTCCTCCCTGGGCAGAGGAGGATTGGGAGCCATAACACATGGTTGGTTTGTTAAACAAAGTCATCGTTTAAGTGGTTGAGCTTGTTCATTTTGCATGGGGGAAATGAGATGTGGGCAAGGCTAGAAAAAAAAAAGTCAAATACTCCTTTTCCCTCCCCCTGTCCCCTGCAATTAATACCAACACGTCTCTAAATAAGTTAAAATGTCTCTTTGAAGTTTTGGTAGCACCAAATTCTATCCCTTCCCTTCTTCTATCCCCATGTTGTAAACTGGAACACACTGGCCCAAGAGCATCACAGAACCACAGAATATTCTGAGTTGGAAGGGATCCACGAGGATCATCGAGTCCAACTCTAAATCTAACCAGCTTAAAAGGGTTTGGCAAAAATAAGCATCAGCCTTCCCCGTGCACACACAAAAACACAATCCCCCAAAAACCCACACCCCTCGCTCCTCTAACAAAGCCTTTTATGCCTGTGGGCATCTACGCATCTTTAGTAGCTGCCAGGATCATTTCAGCAGCTGGATTTTGGGTTACAAAGAGCTACAACAAATCCAGAGTCCGTGTGGACTCCACGTGCACCTCCCATCCCACGGCCAATTCCTGTCCAACCCACTTTGCTCCAGACAGGGCAGTGAGCGCAACGGCTTCTGCTTTTTACTCGTAGCACTGGAGCTTATCCTAAAATTGTACATTTAAATAAACCCAGTCATTCTAATCCAGTATGCAGAATTAAAAGCTATCCTGTCCACACAATGCTAGGATGTTTTCTTTCTTCTCAAAAGGCCAAATCTAACAAGTAAAACAGAAGAGACAAATTACTTTGGCTGCAAATGATTAAAAAAATCTGGCTCGACATTCTGCTCGTCCGTTGTGGTGTGTAACTGAAGATACATCCTGCAGAAGACCCCCCAGCCAGCTCCCCGTTACGTGGGAACCACGATACTCTTGGCCAGCAAAATGAGAAGAGCGAGATCTGCGTTTCCATCCGCTTGTTCCAAGGCCTCGAGAGCCTCCCGCGGGGTGAAACCGGCACCGAGGATCCGCTCGACGTCAGCCGCAGGGAAAGCCGGGGCTGGAGCAGCACCCACGGCCAGTCCGGCGCGAGCAGCTGGTGGGTTTGGCTCCTCACACCCACCCTCAGCAGCAGCACTGACGCTTCTCCCAGGCGCTGCCGTGACCGGGCCCTGCGCATCCCGAGGGGCACCGTCACCTGAGGCAGGTGTGGAGGAAACGGGGGTGTTTTGCTCCGAAGTCGGACTGGCTGCGCTCTGAGAACCTCCTGCCAAAGCCTCCCCCTGCTCCGGGCTCTGCTGCTGCCCAGCTGTGGCTGCACAGCTCTCCAGGACCAAATGGCTCTTAGCTGGACCCTTCTGCCTCCCCAAAGGCCCCTCCCCGAGCGCAGGCTGCCCGCGACCCACTGGCACAGTGCTGATGTGCTCTCTGCCGGAATCACAGGGCTGGCTCCCCTCAGACCTCACCTGAGGGCAGGAACAGCTCTGCTCCTGGCTCGCTGGATCCCAGCCTCTCTGCTCACCCTCAGGAAGCCCCTTCTCCACTGCTGCTGGCTCCCTGTCAACCATTTCCAGCCGGGAGACTTCTTCCGAGGCAAGGATCTTACAGTCCCCCTTCCGACTGACAACCAGGAGTTTGTGAAGCTCTTTCAAGGCTGATGCCAGAGGGAAATAGGGCTCTTCTGAAGGTCTTCCTGGAGCAGTGTCCAGCTCATGGATGCTGGAGGGGGAAGAGCTGACTTCAGCCACCAAATTAGACAGCTCTGCAGGGATTTCCCTCGAGCTTTCAGACTGTGGGACATCACCCGTGGGAAGCAGATCCCTCGAGGAGGACAGGGACTTCAGCAACTCCACCTCCATGGAAAAGGCGTCCGAGCTCAGGTCAGATACACGTCTGTCCTCGGTCTGCTGCTTCTGCTCCCTTGCTGAGCTCTGCACTTCAGCTGCAGCCTGCTCAACTCCATCGACTTCCATGGAGGCTTCCATGTGCACACAGGAGGCTGACAGCTGGATAATCCCTTTTGAAAGACCTGCTCTCTCCAGTCCATCTCTCGTTTCCAGGGGAGGATCTTCTGGCTGGTTGGCTTCTGCCACAACGGCTTTCTCAGCCCCACCAACTTGGCAAGGAGGTTCTGGGTCAGTTGTCTCAGTTTGCTCCTCCAGATGTTCCTTTTCTGGCTCTTTGCACGTCCGATGGTCTATGGGAAGCTCATGCTCTTGCTCCTGTCCCCAAGGCAGACAGACATCTTCATCCTGCCTGTGCTTGGCAGCAGTGTCAGTCAAATTGTCTTTTGTCACTTCCAGAGGGTGTTCCTGACTGTGACCTTGTCCTTTAGCATTACATTCCTTTAAAATGTCAGCAGTAAATGTTTGTTTGAGTGTCTTCTGTGAAAGGCAAGCTGGATTGGAGCAGGTTCCCTCCCCAGCGTGGGGAGAGGGGTTATTTGCCAAGGAAGAGCTATTGGAAAGATGCTCTAATACCAGAGGATGCTCTTTTTCCGGGGTTATCTGGTGTTCAGGTGAAGAGTCAAAAGTCTTGACGGCTCTGGGATCAATGGGCTCTGCGAGGCTGGATTCGGATGAGCAAATTGAAGCAGGGGCAGAGACAGAACGATCAAGTAATTGATTTGTGGGATTACAGATCTTGGAATTTAGTCCTGAAGACTGGACTGGATTTTGAAACCCATCAGAAGCTGGTAATGAGGGCATTTCCAGTGAGGTAGTTTCTTTGTCACTATTCTCTGGAGGAGACAGAAGGACAGGAGCGGTCAGGACACGGCAGGACCACCCTTCGCACCACGCAGCGCAAACCGAACGGGGGGCTGTAAATACCTGGTCTGTGGCCCACTCCAGCTGCAGTAAACACACACTACATGCATCAAGGCTTCCGACGTTCTGTTTGGATTAGGAAACAAACACACCAAACTCGTGTTAGCATTCAGAGCACACACCATGCACGGGCACAGCCCTGCTCCGCTCCCCTCCCATCGGCCGGCGAGACAGCGCAGAGGCTGCGGCAGCTCCTGCCTCCCAGAAGGATCCTGCCCGGGAAATTCGGTACATCAAGTCAAGATAGCTCTGCCAAAGAACAATTTAGAGGTTGCTGTGTACTGTCTGTGCTGCAGAGCGGTCCGTGGGTGATGCTACACACTCGGGAAACCACACGGCACGTGTGTCTACTGGTCTGCTTCCCCTCTGGCTGGAGATATTCAGGACACACGTTTCAGGGATATGAACACTGAGATGGCTGCACCATTCTCGGGTTGTGCTCCCAGCAGTGCCACCACGGGCAAGAGAAGGTGAGCAAACCCCAGCCTGCTGCAGAAGGGTGCAGATCCAAGGGGGAAAGGAATCCCCCAAAGGAGCTGCTGCCGAGGCTGGGAAGAGCAAAGCGAACGAGAATCGGGCAGAAGCCAAGCCCAGCTCGCTGCTTCCCTCTCCCCACGAGACTGGGTGAATTGCAGATGTCTAGCAGTAGCACCAAACACTGCTCTGGTTATCAGGAGAGATTAAAGAGGTGACCTTATCTTGCTGACAGTCTAACCTAGCTGAGGTATCAGCACTCTCGTTAAGTCACTCACCGACCTTTGCGGCCGGGTCAGTCCTGCCACCACAGCCCTGCTCCTCCCAGCTCACTCATCCACATTTTGTGCTGCTTGAGCTCCCTCTCCCTTCCCAAACTCAGTGGTCTTAAACACTGTTTTTTCCTGAAGTCTTTCCCTATTTACAGGAGTACGGGGGCACAGCTCACCACGCCCACACCTACAGCCAGGATTCCCTTTAAATGCCACAACCTGGAACCTGCCTTTCTCTCCTCAGCCTCTTGGTTCTTTTATTCTCAGTTAACAAAAGCTGGTGCAGTATGTGCTGTGATACCACCCCTTGGATTGAGGCACAGCTCATCTTTTCCTAAGGGAAAAGCCTTCTGACACAGGATATGGATGAAAACCAGAGGGATCCTTTCTGTTTCTACATGGAAGGATTACGTTCTCGCTCTCTGTTCCCAAACCAACCCTTCAGGGAGGAAGCAGAACTTTTGACCCGTTGGATCATTAATGAGGGTCTGATCAAACGGGCTGGGGAGTTGCATTTAGGCAGCAGCAGGAGCTGGTTTTCTGCCAAGCACTGCTCTGTGTCATCCTCCTCCTGGGGCTGAGCCCCAGCCCCATCAGGGATATCGATCCAGCTAATACCAGGAACAAACTCTTCCCCACAAAGTGCACCATCAGGGACAAATTCCCCTCAGGAATTTAAATCAGGAACAGCTCGAGTTGTGTGTGGTGGCAGCAACTCGGACTGAGGCTGCCTGGATGAACAGCTGTGTATGGGGTGACCTGCCTGGCTGCACTTCCTTTCCTCCTCCTCAAACAGCTCCAGTTTTGCTGCCAGGTTGGGGAATCCCCCACAATCTCCAAGTTTTCCAGTGATGGGAAATTGGCACAGGAGAGCACCAAGCCCTCAGAGATAACGAGGAGGTGGAGGATCCGAATCCCAGTAAACCACACCAGGGCTCCACCACCACCTCAGCTGCCTTCTGGAGGTCTGAACCACCGGCAGGTCAGCTGACAGAAGTCATGAGGCTCCCTTAAGTGGGCTTCAGGGATTAAATAAAGCTCAGGGATAATCCAGGTGCATTCAAAACGAGCACTTTAATAGCCTCCAGGTGCATGCAGCCTTTGGTGTTGTACCAGCTCGTGGCAGGCAGCAAAAATTCCAGCTCTTAGGAAAGAACACACATCTTGTGGTGAGCTGAGCTTCTGCGGTGCTTCCTCACGTTCTCTTTCTCTCCTTCTTCCGTTTCCTGTTCTTTCCTCTCTTGGTTTTCCTGGAACCACCTAGCAGCAACTCAGGTTTTGGAAGAGAGAGAGAGGGAATGTGCTGACATTTTAGGATACAGCCAACAAGTGCCTGTGGGCCCAGGGGCTGGTCCTGCGTCAGGACTGTCACAGTCAGTGTGAACACAGTCCCCCTTAGTGCTGTGTTTTGGTGTTCTGTGAGCAGGAGGTGAACACACAACGTGGATTTCCTATTCCCATAAATCTTTGGCATTCCTCTAGGGCTCAGCATCAACAGAGTGGCTGAGTGCTGATCAGGCTGAACAAAGCCATGTGGTCCTAAGACTGTAGGAGGTACACAAGCAGCTTGGATTTAAGTCATTTCAGGCACTTTTCTTTTTAAAACACTCGACTAAAGTGTTTTTATTGTAAGGACTCAGAGTTTGAGCTGAGGTTTGCTTGTTATTCGACCCTTTCAGCAGAGAACTAAGCCCAGCCAACTATAATGTCTGCAAAGTCTGATCCAAAGTGGAGATATATTCCAAAAACCAACTCAGGCTCCATCAGGCTCCAGGCTTTAACAGGAAAAGAACTAGTATTTACACCTGCCAGGTTATGGGAAAGAGACACAAGCCCAGGGTGCTGAACTTGAGTTTTAGAGACATCAAAACACGATTGGAAGGTCAAATATGGTTAAATATTAACATTTAAATATGGTAAAGCATATATAAATATTAATATCTAATAAACAAATAAAAATAAACTTAATGTATGGTTAAATCTTGTTATCTCACTTCAATCTTAAATATGAGCATGCTAGAGTTAAAAAATTAGCAATAAAAATGTTGAAATCGACTTCATCAGCTTAAACCTGACCCAGCAAAGAGTTCTGCATGTGTGTAGAAAGCAGAATTTACTGTGTACTTCCAGAGGGAAAACGAGCAGGAAATGAACAGATCTCTATAAGACACTTGGATATAAAATGTTATCTTTAAAAGTTTTTGGAAAAGGCCTAAGAAATACACCCTGAGGTATTCACAGCTTCCCTGTAACAGCAGGGAAAAAATAATGAATTTTTCCTTTAGCCCAAAGCTGAATTAAGGGAGGAGCTGACCAGAAAATGTGAGTTTGGCTCATAGCTCAGCTCTCAGCTATTTTGGCTGAAAGTAAAATGACTTCACTAAATTTTGCAGCCACCAAAATGTTCCCTAGCCCAGGCACTGCATCTGTGCAGCATTTGGATTCCAGGGGCACCAGGAACAAAACTAGGGGAGGGTGAGAGTTCTCTTTGCAGATCACATTTACAGCTGAAGATGCACATCGGGATGCGAATTCAGCTTTTGAAATTTAGAGCAGCAACCAGAAGCAATTCCCCCTCCGAGGGCACGAGCAGGGAAAAATGCTGTTTCTAAAAACTGCCACGAGCTCGAGTCACTGCCACAGCTGCTCTACTTTTCCACGGTGCAGCCATTCAGAGCAGGATTTGGGAAGCCTCCCCAAAGCTGTGCTGAAATGCCACAGCTGAGCCACGTCCCTGCCAGGCACTAAGGGGTGACACCAGTGAGCCACGGCCACACCTCCAGGGCCAGGAAACCAGGGCGGGTGGGAAGCTGCAGGGAAAGCACCAATTAAGCAGCAAACCCTCTCAAGTGCCTTCGTGCAGGTTTTGCTGTCCAGAAAGGAAGAGAGAAGTGCACTTGGAGCAGGAATAAAGCCCCTTCTCTCCACCCTTGGATGCTGCTCTCCGGAGCTGGGAGGGGACAGATGCTCCCAGACATCCTGACACTCAGCAAAACACCGTGCAGGCTCCCGTTTCAGCTGGGCTCCTCCTGGTACCTGCTTCCTCCACGGATTTCTGTATTGCCTCTGCCAGCTCCTGGTCGGCGATCTCCTCGGGCCGCACGTCCTCGCGCCCCGCGCCGTAGGCCAGGCGGGCGCACTCCGGCAGCTCCCCCTCCGGCAGGAACGTGGTCTGAGAGCCCGTCGTGCCGATCACCAGAACGTTCTTCTTGAGGTCGATGGAGCACTGTGGAAGAGATCCACGCGTCAGGGGCCTGAGGGACAGCCAGAGGCAGGGGAGAAACAAGGGGAGACAGCCCAACCCCGATGGGAACAGCTGCCAGCAGGTAACGCCGGGCCGGGAGCATCAGCTCAAAGCAAAGGGCCCTGCCTGGCTCGATTTGTAATAAATCATTCAGTCAGAAAGCTTTGAGCATCTTCGATCAGAGCAAAAAGCTCCAGGCAGCAGCCAGACCCCCTGGAGCTGTCCATGATGGGTGTAGTGTACGTGCCTCCAGCATGGAAGATACTCCAGCATCGACTCTCCCCAGCAACACCCTAATGAATTGACAGGGGAGGCACTTATGTTGCACTTTGCACTTAACCTGGAACAGCCAGTAACTGTTTCAGTTTTTGATACCAGATTTTGATACCTGATGCCTCTTCAGCATATCCAGTCCTAGGAGCATGTCCATGGGCTGCTCTTCCAGGATCGAGAAGGAGCACGCCAGGAAATCCCCTTCAATCTGCACCTGAGCTGAAACACAAGGGAGAGAAGTTACCACCACAGCACAACAAATCTGCTTTCTGCTCTTCCACCTCCTGGGGAAGGTCTGGGCACATCTGAAACCAGAGCTCTGACGTACTGCCCTGGTCACAGAGAGTCCAGCCCTGTGCAAGCCCCAGGGCTGCCAGGCCTGTCGTGGTCCCAAGTTAATTATTTTAAAAGCTGACGTGCCCAGGAGCCTCAAGTCCTGCTTCTCTGACCTCCAAACTCGAGGGGCTGTGAGCAGCTCATTAGAACACAAGCCTAAGCAGCAACAACAGTGAACAGAATTGATTTTTCAGTAATAAGGACAATCTTCTCCATCCAGAAAAGCTGCACAAGAGCACAGAGAGGCTCCTCTTCCCAAAGGAACAGCACACACTGCACTGTGCTGGAGCCCTTCCCAAGCAGCTCTTTGTGCCCAACACTCCCACCCTGAACAGGAAAATTCACCTCAGGTTTTCCCCCCAGAGAACACGTTCTCTGCAGGAGAAGACCTGCAGGAGCTGGGGACTCCCCTCCCTTCCAAGTGTGATGGTAATTCCACTAAAATAAAGCATTAAAGGAGACAGAAAACAGAGTTTTGTGCCCGAGACAAACAAACACGTTGCAGATGCACTTTGATTTTACTCTGTGGGAGTTACAGCACCCAACCAGACGCTCCTTGGTGCCAAGACTGTGGGAAATGCAGTCAAACCCCTGCTGAAGCTGCCCCCAAAATGCCACAGCACTTACCTAAGTGCACTCTGCCAATGATTTTCTGTGTGCCCACGCCCTTGGCGATGCCGGCCCACCGCCGATCCACCAGCCTCATGATGTTGCACCTTTCAGCACAGGCTTGGCTCATGATGGTCATCTGGGCACCTGCCAGCAACAGAACTCCTGCTAAATCCCCATCACAAATTAAAATTCTCTCCTGGAAGAGCTTAAGATCTGGCACTCAGCAGCTGCCCCAGGGCATAAAGGCTTCCTGGGAATCCCACTGTGCTGACCCGGCTGCCCACACCTGGATCAGCACTGACTGTTACTGCAGAGATGGAACAACCCCAAGAACTTCCCCTGTGGGGCTGTGGATGGGAACCACCACATTAGAGGAGTGTGAAATCCCCCTGTCTGCAAAATGAGATAAGACACACGTGGCAGTGACCTCCCAGGAATGGGAGCCCCAGAAACTCTCCCAGGAGCCCTGATCCGGGCTGTTCACACGCTGCTCCTCTCAACAACCTGCTCTGCTGCCCTTAAACAACACCCAGGCCGTGCTCAGGGTTCAATACGGTGCTTCAACATCTTGTCATGCAGTGCTTTATTAGGGGAATTTTGGGGGAAACTACTGGAATGTTTAGTGTCACCCTCAGTGAGGGAGAGCGTGGAGACAGATGAAAGTGGGGTAATTCACCTGAGTCCACAAAGGCTTTCACGGGGTGCCCGTTGACTTTGCAGTTGATGTAGAGCATCACCACCTGCCCGAAGCTCTCGGGCGCCTCTTCCATCGCTATCGTCATGTTCTCCTCAATGTTTTGTTGCCTGGATTTCATGGAGAGAGAGCAAAATCAGTTTCTACCAGCCAGGCCTTGTAACATCCCTCTGACTCACAGGCATACCTGGAAATCCCCCCTTGCTGCCACCCACCTTACAAACACACACTTAAACCATGGCTTCGTTAGTAAACACACACCCTGGAGCTGAGGGATTGCTTGGAGTGGTGTATTCCAGAGAGGCCAAGCTGCTCCCCAGCAGCCACTGCCCCTTCCAAGCCCTGCCTGACTCACACCACAGCTCCTGGTGACCTCGTGTTGGCCGCAGGAACCTGCACGACCGCGTCGACCCGGAGGAGTCACCAGCAAAAACCTGTGTATTCGTGAGTCACGCCCAGGGCACACGGAGATGTTGCCAGGAGCTACATCCCTGGAATCCCACACAGCAGCTGAACATGAAAATCTTGCTGTTTCCCTGGTATCCTTCCTTTTCCAGGCACAGGAAGGGAGGGAGGTGAGCAAAACCACAGCGAGGACGTCACCACGAGCACAAGCCCTCGGTGCAAATTCAGATCGACAGAAGAAATGCTCTCCCAGAAGCTCCTCATGGCCCCCAGGATAATCTTGGAAGAGATGGGTATCCACACTGACTACATCCAAAACAGCTTGATCTCCCAAAAAAGGGAAAAGGGCTCCTATTCTGATGCCATTTCACTTATCACCAGGCAGGCTGTGAAATCTGGGGACTGCTCAGCCCAAAGTGTTCCCAAACAGCTGCAGAGCCTTGGGCACAGCCCCTTTATCTGTCCCTCACCTACACAGGGAAGAGTTCCTGTGCCTCCAAGCAATGATTCACTATCTAAAAATGTCTGGTTTCTGCATTGCTGAGGTTTATCCAGCACCAACAACTCTTATCACCACTGAATTTTGTTCTGACCAAGGATGAGTCTGTACCAGACAGACACTTGGTTACTGGGGAGGGGGGGAACCACCAGCCATGTCCTGACTCAAGGATTTATCATTCAGCTGAAGAAATGAAGCCTCAGCCCAAAGCAATTACATTTGGCAGGCAGCAAGAGGGAGGGAGGGAGGGAGGGAGCTGATGAGCAGGATGTGTTTCTGCAGAACAACACTCCGACAGCGGTGATGTTGGAGTCTGGAATTAGCCAGAGACACAGAAGAATTATCAGGATGTGAAACCAACCTCCAGGGCAGCTGGAGAAGTGACACCATGTTGCTGTGCTGAGCTCAGCCCAGAGACCAACACTGGCCCAGCCCTCTGCTCAGAACCCAGCTGAGGTGCCCCAAGTTCCACCTCTCGAGATGTGCCTTCCACAAGTGCTCCAGTTTCAGACTGGGCCAGCTCAGGCAGCTCCTGGACATCACACACATGGACAGAGGTGCTGTCACCTCGTATCACGGAGTCATGGAATGGTTTGGGTGGGAAGGGACCTTAAAGACCATCCCACCCCCTGCCACGGGCAGGGACACCTTCCACCAGCCCAGGTTGCTCCAAGCCCCGTCCAACCTGGCCTTGGACACTTCCAGGGATCCAGGGGCAGCCACAGCTGCTCTGGGCAACCTGTGCCAGGGCCTGCCCACCCTCACAGGGAAGAACATTCTGTGCTCAGCTGGACACACTGCAGGGATGGGGTGCACCTGCACATCCCGAATCCCAAACTTTCCACGTGCCAAGCTGGCCTGGAGCACTGCCCTGCAAGCAAAGGTGCCTTGATACAGGGGGTGTGTTCAGATTCTGCCTCCTCCAAGGAAAAGCCACGCCGGATGGAAGCACAGAGCAGTGTTTTCCCCAGGGAAAATCCCCAAAGCCTGCAAAGCACTTTGGTTTGTTACCTTATGTCTTCTTCTATCTTGGCCTGCGCCTCGAGATCAAAGGGGTCAGCGGAGTAGAGTCGGATCCTCTCCTGCTCCCGCCGGGCTCGGTCCTGCTGTTGCTCCAGCAACACCCTGGTGAATTTCTCTGTGGGAACAAGGAGATACAGAAATGCTTTTTACTGGAAATTACTCTTGCAAATCAAATTCTGGCACAGCAATCGCTTCCTTTGATGCCAGCTGAGGGGCAGCACACACAAAAAAGCCTCCTCTGAGGGCAGCACGGATGGACCTCAAAGGACTGGGGGCAAATGTGGGAACCCACTGAGATGAAAAGCAGCTGGACACAGCTCATTGTCCTCGTGTTCCTACCCAGACCCTGCCCAATCAAACTCCATTTCCTGGCACACACATTGCTATAAGGAAAAAGAAATGAAAAACCCCTAAAGGCTAACAACAAAACTTCCTTTAAACCCAAGGGAACCAAAGCCAGGGATTATAATCCTTAATGCTGAACGCCTACCACTGGAACCTAGGCTGGACATTAAGTCTAGATGCACATTTTAAGACCACAGCTTTTAGATCCCCGCTTTTTGGATGGTTCCTGACTATTTTTCACTACTTGGATGGGATCAGAAAGGACCTGGCAGTGCCTGGGGGTCTGTACACACAGAGGGCTGTGGGTTTGCTTCCAGGGATGCAGTTCCCAGGAAGCAGCTCTGCCTCAAGGGCTGTTACCTGCTCAGGGAGGTTGGTGGGTATGTTTTGCCATTTGGATTTTTGAAATTAGGCTTCTGTACAGCAGGTGCCTTCATCTAGCACAGCCACAGGGCAGGGATCCATGTGGATATTTGGGAATCAGAGCTGAGCTGAACTGGATCTGTGCCCAAACACCGAGAGGAGCAGCTGTGCAGCAGGACAAGGGCATAACCAGACCAAACCACTTCCTCCTGAGAGCCCAGTGCAGCCCTTTGGGACTGAAAATAGACATCTGGGTCCAAGTTTGACGTGCACAGACCAGGCAGGGCAGCAGAGGAGCCACTTTTGAGGGTCTTGGGCTTAACCTCTGTTTTCCTGTGCCAAGAGCAGCACCTCTGCTCAAGGTGATGGGAAAAACTCCCAGCAAGAAGTGTGAAGAGGCCTGAGAATGGAAAGAACATGGGTTTAACTCTGGATATGAACTAAAGCCAGAATTCAAAATCAAATAGGCTGACAATGTCCATGGAAGTTTCTTTCTGGCTTCCTTTAACAGAGGGAAATCACTCAGATGTAACACTGAAAGTGGGAAAAGTCTCCTGCTAAAAGACCCTTCTCTTCAGTCATTTCTCCAAACTCAGCAGGATTTATTTCCCAACTAAACATCCTGCAGAGGTTTGGAAGCACATCTGCATGCCCAAAACTCTGCTCTTTTCATACCAAATTCAGAGTTCAAAGCTTTCACCACAGGAAGAACGAGGGACCAGCATACACTACTCATCTGCAGAGAAAGTGAAGGGCATGGTACAAGGCTTCAGCTGTGCCCAAAACACATGGACATGTCCAAGATTAATAGAAACTTAAAGATTTATGATTATTGTTACTGAAAAAGCTCCTGGAAGACATTATTTGTGTGTTCCCTTTCCTCTCCCTTTCTGAGGTTCACTTCCACAGCAGCCAATAACCACGGACAGAGCTGGTTTTGGAGTGTGCTGCTCCCTGCTGAGTCCCAGCAGGCTCTGGATGCAGCAAACACACCACCTTTATTGGAAAATGTGCATTTGGGAGCGTCTCAGTGTACAAACCAGGAGCTGAGTCACTCATGTGCACAGACACCCGACTTATCTGTGCATCTGGAGTTTCTGAGTAGGGGACAGAGGATATTAAAGAGGCCGAGCAGGAGAAATCCACCCAGAAAGGGAGGAGCTTTGCCCTGAGTGCTCCCAACTGGCACCTTTCCCCCACACCCTCCCCGAGCCTGCAGCACCCCCAGCTCCTTAAACACCCTCTGATCAGCCCTCCCCCAGCTCTGAGCCCCACTCACCAAGGTCCCCACTCAGCAAGGCCTCGGCCAGGGGCGGGTTGCGCTCCTTGAGCAGGGACAGCTCGTGGGGGTTGGCCAGCAGCATCTCCCGCAGCAGTGCCGGGTTATCCAGGCCCTGCGGGAACGCCGGAGCATCCGGGGGCGACGGGCGAGGCCGCTGTGCCGGCGGCTGCGGCTGCTGCGAGGACGTCCCGGGCACGGCGATGCTGCTGAAGTCTATCCTGGGCAGACCTGGAGGGAGGAACACCACAGGTGTCGTGGGCACAACCTGCTGGAAAACCCCGGGGAGGATGAGCTGCCCTTAATGCTGCAATAGGGCGGATCCCGGGAGCAGCAGTTGGAGTCGGAAGCGCAGCCACGGCCCCGGGTTACTGGGTTAGGAACGGCGGCGCGTTTATGTAACCGGGCTCATCTGTCTGCCCCACTTTTAATCCCCTGAAATGCGCTTGCTGACTGGTTATTCCCTGCCTCACAGATGTGAATCCCTCACGGAGGGACCGCAGCACTAACCCCGGTGGCTCCGAGGCACTTCGGAGTCTCTCGGGTTAAAAAAAAGCAGGGGGAAAAAAAAAGTAGTACCATTCCTGCAGACCTGCATTGCAGGTACCCATCCTCCAGCTGAGGCAGGACCAGGACCTCAGCAGAGCTCCCACACCCTTCTCAGCCAGTGGCACCTTTTCCAGGGATATTTTATGACTGGGATTTGCTAGGAACAGTTGTGGAAGGCAGGACAGAGGTGCAGGGCTCCACTCAGGCATTCCTGGAGGAGCCCTTCACGTGTACACACGATTGTGCCACTGGGTTTGGTAAGATGGGGCTTCTCAGGGAATTTGCCACAGGACAGGTTTAGGACACACCCACAGGTGCTGTTCCTGGGTCTAACACAGCTGTGCCATCGCCCAGCAGGAAGGGAACCAGTGCTAGCAGGAAAACTCACACACCTTCACCAGAACTGTTCTTAACACGATAAATCCCGAGGAACCTCAGCAGGCTCAGAGCAGCAGCTGGCACGGAGCCTTCCTCACCTGGGAAGCGGATGGAAGGCCGGGGCTCCACCGTCTCCTTCTGGCGCAGGATCACCACGTCCCCATCCTTCAAGCCATAGGAGGCCAAGGACCTGTTGTTGTCGGTCAGCGGCCGCTCGGCATAAACGATCTGCGCGAGGGGGGAGCGCCACCGGCACCCCAGAGCGGAGGAAAACCAAAAACAGGGCGAGAGGTTACTTTTCTGTAGGGGAAAAAGCGTTCCAAGCCAATCCTCAAGACCCACATCAAGCTTCAGAGGGGAAGGTGTGATGTTCTCACAGGCCTGGCCAACACCCCTCGGGCACGGCAGGGCCTCGGCACGTCCGGGGTTGGACAGTGCAGGGTCGGGCTTGCCAAGACGTCAAAGAAGGGCCGGTCTGTCCTGATGGGAGGCCCAGATCATTAAGGGAAAGCAAGCCTTGACCAGCACTGTCTGCCCACGTTTCCAAACTCCAACCTCTGCCATTACACAAGGCAGGGATGTTTTCTGCAGCGTGACCTGCCCCCAGGACAGCACCCACTGACCCTGGACGTGCCAGCAGCACTGATCCAGGTGTATCCATGGATGATCCAGCCCAACATCTATGATCCCTGCCTCTTCCCACGACACAGCTCCCCAGAATAACCAGTTCTACAGGGACCTCAATCATTAGCTCAGTGCTTTCCAGTTCACTCCAATGATGTAACTCTAATCCAGACTTGGAGCACCCAAAGGCACTGCTCAGACTGCCATCAGTCCATGGTGGGAATAAACTTCTTGTCACTGTCAAACACAAAGTCACATCCATTTCTATTTTGATAGCCTGACATTAAACATAAAAACACTGAGATAAAGGTGAATAATCCCCACTGGAACATTTCCATTAACACTGGACCTGTAATACCTACAGAGGCCCTGAAACACAGGGAAGTAGGGAAAGTAAAACGAAGTTGGGCTTTATGGGAACAAATATTGCCAGAAATGGTATCAGCCAAGGCAGAGGTTTCTGTGCCTTCTCTGGAGCACAACGAGACCAGGTGGATCGGTCTGACCGATGCTGCCCCTGGCAGGAGCCCAGAGCGAGGAGCACCAGAGAACTCGGCCTAAACCCCTCGGGAACACGATCAAATTTCACATTTACCACCCTGTGCAGCCAAACTGCATCTTTTTGGGGCTGGAGAAGGCCAGTTCAGCAAGAACATGTTCACCACAGGCTGGGACTGGCCAGGCCATGTGGGAGAAGCTTTCTCAGCCCTGATGCTATCGCAGGGAGCGGAGCCAACACGCTCCCAAAAACCCAACTACTGCGTGTCCTAAGGTCTAGACTACAGCCTGGCATTGCTTCACTCCAGCAACTCCAAAATCCTACACAGGCTCTCCCTGTGACATTCTAACGGCACAGACCCACCCCAGCAGCGGTGCCAAAGCAGGACGAGGCGGGAGGAGCGGCAATAACCAGAACCCTGCAGGACAGCAGCCAGAGGCAGCAGGACCAGGGAAACACAGGGTGGAAATCAGCATAAACTTCCCTACCTTCTCACTGCCACCACCCCGCAGGTGCTGCCCGGCCTGGAGCCCCGGGGGCAGTGATGCTGAGGTGCCCCATCTCTGCCCCCCACGGGATAACCAAGGTCAGAGCCTGGCACAGCCCCGGCACGGCTCTCACATTACCGGCCGGGGTCGGCCCCGCCGCAGCCACGGCGAGCGTGTCATAAATCCCAGCTGCACACCCAAATCTGGAATGGCAGATTCCCTGCGCAGACACTCTGGGAGAGACGACTTAATCAGTTTAAGTGAGGCTTTACCTCTGTCATCTTTGCTGGGATTGGATTTATGGTCGTTCGGCCTTACATCCCAGACAATGAATTAAGCGCCCGGCGCTCGTGGTACATCCATTACAGCTCGGATTAATCTGCTCCTGACCCCTTCTGCTCCACTCCTAAAACAGATTGGATTGTGCTGCCTTTTGATGATCTGGTTTGTGGTAGTTTTGCAGGATGGCAGGCTCTGGACCTGGGCAGGGATACAGGCACTGATGGATTCATTGTGCATGATGAATCCATAGGGTAGAACCTCCTCTTGGAGCAGGGAATCCCAAGCAGGAGTGCTGGATAGCACCAGCAGCCAGCGACCAAGCCAAACCCAGAACCTATCAAACATTCCTGAGCAGAGGGCAGGCCATGGAAGGCACAAAGAGAAAGAGAAACGAAGGGAATGAGGTGCTGCCAGAAGAACCCTCTGCCAGGAGCCTCCCTGTCCCTCCCCCTGAAAAGCCACGGCCTTGGTGCGTGGAGGAGACCAGAGGAAACCAAATTATTTCCCCTCTCCTCACCCAGCTCCTCTTATCACCACAGCCACCCGTGTCACCTCCGTTATCTCACAGCGACCTGCGACCTCCGCCCCCTCCCAGCTCCTGCTCCACCCCAACCGGCAGCACCCGAATGAACCTCCCAAACCAGCAGGGGGCAAGGCTGGGATTAACCCTCTCCCACACACAGTCATGCTTTACTCCATCCTGCACGACCCTAACAACGACATTCATCCTCTCTTGTGCCAACACAACACCTTCAACGCCTGCCTCGGCTGGGGGAAAAGGGCAGAAAACAGCTGAGTTTGGGAGATGTAAAACTGCCTGTCTGTGGTTTGAGAATGCAAAATCATTCCCTCCAACGAGCTGCATCGCTGGTAACTTGCATTTTTATAACTTTCACAGAAACATTTGGGTTGGAAAAGCCCTCCAGGACCACGGAGTTCAACCTGTGCCTGCTCCCCACCCTGTCCCCCAGCACTGAGTGCCACGGCCAGGCCTTCCCTGGACACCTCCAGGGATGGGGATTCCAAACCTCCCTGGGCAGCCCCTGCCAGCGTTTCACAACCACCAAGAAATGCCTCCTGATGTCCAACCTGTTCTCCCCACCACAGAACCCCAGCACCCCTCACAGACACCGGGCAGGAGGAGCAGAGAAAGGAGCAGTAAAGAACTGCCTGGAAAGCACGGCACGACGCGGCACAGGATGATGCACGAGCGGCAGATGGAGGAGCAGAAGGAAGGCAGAGGTGGCTACAAAAGCGCAGCGCTGCTCCAGTCCCCTGGGGCTGGCAGCACCCAAACCCTGCCTGGGTCAGCTGGGGGGAGGGGAACGACTCAAACCAGGGAACTCCCGGCAAAAAACGAGCACAGGAGCGAGCCCTCGTTATCCCAGGTCCCTGTGACACAGGGGACAGAGCCGACAGGCACAGTTCGTGCTCCAGTTCCTGCCTGGAGATGTCAAAGCCACCACAGAGTCCCACGTGTAGGGGCTGTCCCCAGATCCAGGACGTGGACATGGGACTTGCTGGAGCACAGAACCATGATGTGAGGTGGTGGGTTCTCTCTTTCTACCTGTCCAAAATCAAGAGTTCTTCCTCTAAAGGAAAATTCACCTCACCTCGATTTTCCACCGTTGCTTTGAGGCTGTTTTCCCTCAACACCAACCTCTCATCCCAAAATTCCCCCTGCTCTGAGACCACTTCTCCCTTAACACCAACCTCCCATCCCAAACAACAAGGCAGAGGGAAAGCCAAACCCCACTGGGAACCTGCTGGATGAGGAGAACTCCAGCTCCGGGGCTGCCCCTGCAGCAGCTCTTCCAGCGCTGACTAATCTCGGCTTGGCTGGAAAAACACTTCTTTAATGGGGACTGGGAAAAGGTTCGGGAAGCAAAGGCCACCACCAGTAAACTCCACAAACTCTGCCAGGCAGGGCTGGCGTGGAGAAAAGGAGCCAACCCCGCCCTGCCCAGGAAAAACCGGGAGGAACGGCCACAAAAGTGGGACTGAACCCAAACTATGAGCAAACCCCAGAGGGACGGACAGATGGCCCAGGGCCGCCCCCACTCGCAGCCTCCCGCGTGTTTTGGTAGCGAGTGAGCCCCGAATCTGGGCTAAGAGGGAATATTTGCTGGGAAAAACCACACGGATGTGCCCTCCGGTCCCACATCTGTGTGGAAAAAAAGGGAGGAAAAGCCTCAACGTGCCCTTTCGCCCCAGACCAGGCAGGGCTTTGATGGGATAAACAAACCCATCCCAAACGTTTCAGGTCCGTTCCCGAACATTTCAGGGATTTGAGGATCCCACGGGCCACCACCTTCCCCACTCTCCTACTCCCTTTCCTCTCGTCCAAACCCTGCCCCGTTTAAACATCAAATTCCTACGAAACCTCAATAAAAACAACAAACCCACGTTATTTCCCCCCCGTTTTGGTCGCTCAGCGAGGGCGGACCGAGCCTTTTCCGGAGGCACCACAAGTCACCACCGGGCACTCGGAGCCCTCTCCCGAGGGCGAGAACGAGGATTTTGAAGCAAAAGCGGCGGAGGCGAAGGGAGGGAGCCCGACCCTGCCCAACAATCCCCAAACAAGCCCCAAACTCCAGATCGGCGGGGCGGAGGCTCCGGGGACCGCGATCCCGGGAGAAGGGGGGGCACGGAGCCGCTCCCGGCCGGGCCCGACCGCGGGGGCACCGCCCGGGGGCGGGGGTGGGGGTGGGGGGGCAGGCCCTGACCTGGCTCTCGGCCGCCGGGATGCCGGACTCCAGCTCGCAGAGGGCGCGGAAGTTCTGGAGCTCGAAGTCGGCGTCCACCTGGAGGCTGAAGGTGATCTCGGAGCGGTCGCGGCGCAGGCAGAACACGGTGAGCAGCATGGCCGTCCCCGCCGCCGCCAGCGCCGCCAAGCGCCGCCGTCGCAAAGCGCCCGCCCCGCCGGGCCCGGCGCTGCCCGTCAATCAGCGCCGCGCGGCCAATCGGAGAGCGCCGCCGGGAACGAGGCACCGCCCCCTCCGCGCGCCCGCACGGGGGAGGGGCCGGAGCGCCCCCGGGTCCCTGTGCCCGCCCCGGGTCCTGTGTCCCCAAAGGGTCCCCGTGTCCCCAAAGGGTCCCTGTGTCCCCAAAGGGTCCCCGTGTCCCCAAGGGGTCCCCGTGTCCCCAAAGGGTCCCTGTGTCCTCAAAGAGTTCCTGTGCCCGCCCCGGGTCCCTGTGTCCCCAAAGGGTCCCCGTGTCCCCAAGGGGTCCCTGTGTCCCCAAAGGCTCCCTGTGTCCCCAAGGGGTCCCCGTGTCCCCAAGGGGTCCCCGTGTCCCCAAAGGGTCCCTGTGCCCGTCCCCGAGTCCCTGTGTCCCCAAAGGGTCCCTGTGTCCCCAAGGGGTCCCCGTGTCCCCAAAGGGTCCCCGTGTCCCTAAAGAGTTCCTGTGTCCCCAAAAGGTCCCTGTTGTCCCCAAGGGGTCCCTGTGTCCCCAAAGGGTCCTGTGTCCCAAGGGGTCCTTGTGTCCCCAAGGTGTTCCTGTGTCTGCCCCGGCTCCTTGTGCCCGTCCCGGATCCCTGTGTCCCCAAAGGGTTCCTGTGTCCCCAAGGGGTCCCTGTGCCCGCCCCGGGTCCCCGTGTCCCCAAAGAGTCCCTGTGTCCCCAAGGGGTCCCTGTGTCCCCAAGGGGTCCCTGTGTCCCCAAAGAGTCCCTGTGTCCCCAAGGGGTCCCTGTGTCCCCTAAGGGTCCCTGTGTCCTCAAAGGGTCCCTGTGTCCCCAAGGGGTCCCTGTGCCCGCCCTGGGTCCTGTGTCCCCAAAGGGTCCCTGTGTCCCCAAGGGGTCCCTGTGTCCCCAAAGGGTCCCTGTGTCCCCAAGGGGTCCCTGTGTCCCCAAAGGGTCCCTGTGTCCCCAAGGGGTCCCTGTGTCCCCAAAGGATCCCTGTGTTCCCAAAGGGTCCGTGTCCCCAAGGGGTTCCTGTGCCCGCCCCGGGTCCCTGTGTCCCCAAAGGGTTCCTGTGTCCCCAAGGGGTCCCTGTACCTGCCCCAGGTCCTTGTGCCCCAGGGGACCTCTATATCCCCAAGGGGTCCCTGTGCCCCGGGGGTTCCTGTGTCCCCAGGTGTCCCTGTCCCTGGCAGTCACTGCTGTCCCCCAGGTATCCCCTCAAGTCCCTGCACCCCTGAGCATCACTGTGTCCCGGGGGGGGATACCCTGTGTCCCCTGTGGTCCCTGTGCCCAGGGGGTTCCTGTGTCCCTGGGTGTCCCTGTGCTCCCTGGTGGTTCCTGTCCCCCTGGGGATCACGGTGTCCCTCGGGGGTCCCCATGTCCCTGCAGTGGTCCCTGTGCCCCAGGATGTCCCAGGCCCTCAGTGAACCTTTAGGGGTGTCCCTGAACCCACCTGTTTGCTTTCTGGGGCACAGGGTGGCCTCTGGGGTGCCCTGTCCTCCTCAGTGTGCCTTTGGTGACACCTCAGAGCCTCTGTTGTGCTTTCTGGGGTGCCCCAAGCTCCCCTGTGCACCCCAAACTCTCCTTTTTGCCTTTCAGCATTCACCAACCTCGGCACCATCCGACTGTTCCCTCCCAGCCCACCCTGGGGAACACCCGGAGCAGGTGAGGGTGATGTGGGGACACATCCCTCAGATCTGGGGACACGTCCCAACGCCCCATGCCATGAATTCACTCCCACGCAGGGTGAGAGGAATGAGACTTTATTTTGAACAGGGAGTTGATCCCCAATCCCAACCATTCCAACCAACTCCAGTCCAAACCATTCCCTGGCAGAGCGAGACAAACATCACGACTCCTCAGTGAACACCAGAGGCATCCTGGTCCTGGGTTTGCAAGACACTTCAGCAATGGACCCCCCCAAATTTAATTGTCGTTCCTATTAATCCCCCCAGGTGTCAAAATAAAAAGACCAGACGCATCCCCGCAGCACATCCAGCACCTGCGGACACGCGGCGGGTCCGAGCACTGCCCGGCCCCAGGAGAAGCTCCTCCTCCTCCCACAGGGAGCTCAGTCGGATTTCTCCTTCTCCTTCATGTGCAGGAAGACGATGCTGAACATGAAGAGCCCGACCATCATGGAGAAGGCGCCGGCGTAGTAGGGATAGGCCGAGGGGATGAAGCGCTCGTACTGCGTGTGCTGCAGGGGCCGCACCGACACCTGCCGGGACACAGGGGGCGGCCTTGGAGCGCGGGAAGCCTTTCCTCCCGGGAGAGGGGGGGATTGGCTCCCGCCACACTCACCTGTGTGGAGGAGTAGAGGTGGGTGTAGCCCAGGCGGTTGTAATCCACCTTGAACTGGAACACACCGTAGACGTCCGGCAGCTTGAACTGCACACTGTACTTGCCACCTGGGGGCGAGACAGGGGTGACACTGGGGTGACACCAGAAACTGGGGACGGTCAGGACACCCCCAGTGTGGGGCTGGGGTGGCCACGGGGACCTACTGCTCCTCGGGAGGGGGACCCAGCACTCCCCTTGTGGGAGATCTACTCCTCCTGAGGGGGACCCACCCCTCCTGTGAGGGGCACCTACTGCTCCTCCTGAGGGGCATCCACCACTCCTCCTGAGGGGAACCTACTGCTCCTCCTGAGGGGACCCCACCCCTCCTGTGAGGGGCACCCACCGTTCCTCTTGAGGAAGGTCCTCACGAAGGGGTCGATGCGCACAAACTCCAGCTGGATGTCGTCGCCGTCGAAGGGCACCCACCTGCCGTCAGCGAGCTTCTCGATCACGATGCTGTACTCCTGGCACACACCAACGAGCGGCGCCTGAGAATGGACCTCGACCCACTCGGGGCTCAAACGTCCCCAGACGCCTCTCCCGAGGCAGCTCCCACGTGCCCGCCCGCCCAGGCCAGCCCAGGCCCCTCACCACGAGGTCGGTGACGGTGTAGGCGTTGGGCGGCGCGAGCTCCCCGACGCGGTGGTGGGACACGGCCCCCACGCGCAGAACCCCCTCCTCTTTGAACACCCAGCGGGACAAGGCCACGGCCAGCTCGTAGTTACCCGTCTGCGAGTACCTGTGGAGCAAGGGAGGCTGAGAGGGCTGGGAAAACACCCCCTGCTGAGACCAAACCGGGATAAATGGGAAACGAACAAAAACTGAGCCAGGGTTAACGGAGGGAATCGCTTCCCAAAGCACACCGTTCCATAAGGCCCCAATTTACTTCAAGCTTTCTGCTCTTTCCCAAACCATAAACATTTGTCAGTTGTTTCCCAGGACTTCTGCCATCAAACCGCTCCCCAGACATTCCCCAGGCAGGGACCCCAGGAAGCCAAGGCACCTCTTGGAGCCGGGAGTGGCCTTCTGCACGGCGGAGTTGAAGAAGGCGTCGCTGAAGAAGTCGAGGGAGCCGCTGAACACGACGCGGGCGTTGTTCCGCGCCTGCAGCCCCGCGATCAGCAGCGTGTTCTTCCCCACGGCGTGAGGGTACTGCGGGGCAACCAGGGGGGAACAGGGTTCAGCCACTTCGGAGATGGATACAGAGGAGTTTGCTCTGGGGTGGGACAGTCTGGCTGTAGCAGCACAGGCTGCAGTTAAGGAGAAACCAAGCGGATCAGAATGAGCAGGAATGGGATTCAGATTCCCTCTGTGGCTGGGATGGAACCAGGAGAGACACTTTGATCTAGGGTGGCCTCTCCTCTAAAGCACGGAGGACACGCGTCCCTCGCACTGAACACCTCCCACCAGCAGGAGGCACAGAGGAAGATTCCCAGGGCGACACTGGGAAGCAGCACTGGGAAGCAGCCGACAGCCTGTCCCTTCCCAAATCAATTAGGAGATCCAGGATTTTCCCAAGGTGCAGAAATTTGGGGGGACTTAGTTGTGGAAGAACAACTCAAAAGAGGAGTGAAAGCGAGGGAGCGTACCTGAGTGATGGGCTTATCTGGGAAGAAGGAGTAAGAGGTGGAGGAGCCCGTCAAGATATCCAGCACCAGCGGGTTGTCGGGATCAGCCACCATCCTGGCAGGGAAAGCCATGGTGAGACGCACAAACACCCCCAGGACCCCCCACCCAGAGGAATGTACAGCCACCTGCTCAACCCCACAGACTTCCTTTGCCCTTTGGCTGGGCCAAGAAACTAGTATTTCCTCGAGATCTGTGCTCAAACTCCACTAATTTGTTAGGAGCCTTTCCCGGGTAAACAACTAAAACTCCTTTGGAGAGCTGCCTTCCATTTTTGTTTGAAATCAAGAGAAATTTGTTATCCTCACACAAGGACTCACAGCAACACCACTGGTTTAATTCCACTCCCCCAAGGCCCCCCATCTGCCCCAGTCCTGCTCACCCAACTCCTCGGAACAGGATGGGGTTCAGAGCTGCCTTCCCCACAATGGTGGGGGCCTTCAGGAGATTCTCCGTGTCCGCCACGATCAGAGTGTGCTGGGAAAACAAGGCAGGTTGGCGTGAGGTGTGTCAGGGTCTGATGGCAGGCAACAGCCTCTCAATTAAAAGTTAAATTTATTCTTACAATCACAGCTGCCGAATGAATGTTGCAGTTAATTAAAAAGCAAAAACCCAGCGTTTTTAATTATGATCAAATTAAATTAATACTGATCCACGAGGAAATATAAACTGTCTTTTGATAAAGGCAGCAATACCCACAGTGTTTTACTTCCCTGTATTCAGCAACTTTCATCCTTAAACCGGGATGATAAAATCCTTAAATGAGGATCCTTAAATCCACATACTGCTTCAACAGTTTAATTTAAATAAAAATTAGCAAAATATATTTAGCTCAGACCTTAATATAGGCTTTGGTTTTAAACTGCTGGATGACATGAAAAAAACCTGTAGAAATGTGGGTGTTTCTGTACTGATCTGAAAATCTCTGAAAATCCTTATACTGATCTGAGAATCTTGATGTGAAAATTCGGGGCTGAAGTTCTGCCTTCCCACATCTGAAGCGTCCCATCAGGGTCTGGCACACCTCACCCAGAGGTGAAA